TCTGTCTGCAGGATTGCTCAGGGGGCTGCTGGGGATAGAGAGCTAGTCAGCCTTTAACTACTTAATTCTTCATTCTCTAGGAAAAGAACCAACAGGTTAGGCACAGAACTGTGAATGAAAAGATTAAGCAAAAAAGGAGAGCTATCCCAGTGCTTAGAGCAGAGCTGAGCTTTCTTCCTTGGGCACATTGGCTGGGATCACAACCCCCGAGAACATTTATGAAACAAAAAGAGCCCATGCACATGCTTTTATACCACTAGCTCCTTGTAAAACTCCAATCACTGAAAGCAAGGTTCCCAAGCAAGGGAACCAAGTACTGCCCTCAGGCTTGTCTCAACAATAGCATTTGGGATTTAAAATAGTCCAACAGGGAAAAAAGTGAAGGACGGAAAATGAATTGTATACCTGTAAAGATAAGGAACGAGTCCATACCCATACCTCTTCAAGCTTTGATTCATTCTCTTCATTGTGATCATTAATTCCTTTGAGAACTCAAAGCCCTATGTTTATGGTGCCTTAAATTATTCTTGCGTTTGGCCAATAAAGATCTGTAATTCTGATCTGTAAAGCTGAAAAGTACTGATGGGATGGAGCTGAAAGAGGGCAAATGTTTCCCCTCCTTTGGATTCTTAACTAGATCTTGTGCAATTAAAGAGGATATGACTTTCTAACAGACTTTTAAATAAATGATTAATCTACAATTTCTCTGAACCATTCCCACTCTTCTAAGAATCTTATGCTATTATGTCATGGTTGCTAAAACTTTCAACTCTAGGTATATTTCCACTTCTCAGAACTCAATATCTCTCCTTGTCAGCCAGCTAGATATGCTAAATGAATTATAAAGGTTAAAGATGGTTTTGCAATTTTTTCTCCTTTGGGCTGAGAGAACAAGAAGTGAAACAGATAGAATTATGATCCCTCTCAGTTAATTTCTTTTCTCTATTTTAACAGTTGCCTGTGACGATCTTCCACTGCTTCTGACAAACTGTGAAAGAAGTGGGATTTGGTGTCAAAGTATTAACTGCCAGAACCACCTCTGAGAGCCGGAGTCTGTCAGGTAGGGGTTGTTTACAGTTGCTGGGTCTCATGAGGGTTCTCTTTGTCTTATGGCCACAGTGCAATGAAAGGCTATGGATTCCAGCCCAAAGCACCGTGTTTGGTGATGTGACAGGCTGGAGGCAGTCTGAAATTCAAAAGCTGACCCTGAGGCCAGTCCCTTTTCAATGACGGTTTCTGCATTTTCTAAGAAGTAATATAAATGCGAGCACATGTGGAAGTTGGGATAATGCAGATGTGTTTGTGTCTGTACATGTGTGTTGGTCCAAGCAATTGAGAGTGAAGTGAGGAAAGACAGCAGCTGTAACACGAGAAATACAAGTTGATACTTTGGAAAATTTGAACTAGGGAATATAGAAGCAGCTTCAGATGTTTGGTAGTTTTGAGTTAGAAAGCAGAAGTGGCTTTCTTGCTGTCCTCCAGGAGGTTTTGATGGGTGACAGAGAGAACAGAGGCTCCGGGCACAGTACTGAGATCGAGCGCCATGACACTGGTTGTTGCAAGTCTAGCAAAACACTGTAAGCATCTTTCCATGTGCCTATTGGCCATTTGTAGGTCTTCATTAGAGAATTGCTTGTTTAGATTTTCTGCCCATTTTTGGATTGGGTTGTTTGGTTTTTTTTTCTTATTAAATTATATGAGCTGTTTGTATATTCTGGAAATTAAGCTCTGGTCAGTTGCATCATTTGCAAATATTTTCTTCCTGTCCATAGGCTGTCTTTTTGTTTTGCTAATGGTTTCCTTTGCTGTGCAAAAGCTTATAAGTTTAATGAGGTCCGAGTTTTGCTTTTATTTCTATTGCTTGGGTAGATGGCCCTAGGAGAACATTCCTGAGATTTATGTCAGATAGTGTTTTGCCTGTTTTCTAAGGTTTATAGTGTCTTGTCTTACGTGTAAGTCTTTAAGCCATTTTGAGTTTATTATTTTATATGAATGTTGTGTCAATTTCTAGTGTACAGCACATGCTTTAGTCATATAGGAACATACATATATTTGTTTTCATATTTTTTTAACCATAAGTTACTACAAGATATTGAATATAGTTCCCTGTGCTAAACAGTATAAACTTGTTTATCTATTTTATTTATAGTAGTTAGTGTCTGCAAGTCTCAAACTCCCAATTTATCCCTTCCCCTCCTGGTAACCATAAGTTTGTTTTCTATGTCTTTGAGTCTGTTTCTGATTTGTAAATAAGTTTGTCCTTTTTTTTTTTTAGATTCTACATATGAGTGATATTATATGGTATTTTTCTTTCTCTTTCTGGCTTACTTCACTTAGAATGACACTCTCCAGGTCCATCCATGTTGCTGCAAATGGCATTATTTGATTCTTTTTTATGGCTGAGTAGTACTCCATTGTAAAAATATACCACATCTTCTTCATCCAGTCATCTGTTGATGAACATTTAGGTTGCTTCCATGTCCTGGCTATTGTAAATCATGCTGCTATGAACATTGGGGTGTATGTACCTTTTCAAGTTAGAGTTCTCTCTGGATTTATGCCCAGGAGTGGGACTGCTGGATCATACGGTAAGTCTATTTCTAGTCTTTTGAAGAATCTCCATACTGTTTTCCATAATGGCTGCACCAAACTGCAGTCCCACCAGCAGTGTAGGAGGGTTCCCTTTT